TATGTGTTTATAATAAATAAAAACCAATTTAAATATTAAACATAAACAATTTATATATAAATATACATTCTTCCCCCATTTAACTAATATATTTTCGACTTGGTTTTTGGATTTTTCTGGCTATGTCTAAAGTCTTTACACGGAGGGTTAATACAGTGGGGTGCAGCGCCTAATGACTACCCGTTAAATATATATACAGATCTATGCCTAGGTTATATACAAAGATCATTTAGATATACGTATGTGTGTGGCACAGTTATACAAATACACGTAAATGTGGTTAGGCAAGAGATGTTGTGTTCGAGGAGGCCCAAGGATATTTTTCTTTTCTTTTTAGTCTTTTTTTTTTATGTACATAAATGTGTGTGTTTATGAGGCTTGTGTGTGAGTGTGTGTGTGTGTGTGTGGATCGTTGAGCGAGTGCTTTGGGGTTCGCTTATTTATATACACAATGATTAGCTCGAATTTCGTATTATATATACATATAGATATTGTTCATATGTATGCATGACATGTGATTACAGCGAGCGAGCGAGCAGAGCGAGATAAATATATATTGATATAGTGTGTGTGTGTGTGAGAGATAGACGAGAGATGGAGAGAGAGAGAGAGAGTTCAAGTGTGAGCACACGGCTTACCGGTCTGCGCTCGACCATAGAAATCATTCGCCTGCTGCGCCTGACCGTACGCAGCGAGTGCTGCATAACCACCGCCGCCAACGCCACCGCCGCCGCCACCACCCAGCCCAATGATGCCGTTGCCACCGCCACTGCCCATTCCGCCCACGCCCATCATGGCCGGATGGGGGGACATGTTCAGTCCGTTCATTAGTTGTTGCTGTTGCTGCTGGTGTTGGTGTTGTTGCTGTTGTTGTTGGCTGGCGGCGGCAGCCCCATTATCATTGTGGTTGCTGCTGTTGTTGTTGCCACTGTTGTTGTTGTTGTTGTGGTTGTTGCCTGGCGACAAACCGAAACGCGTTGAGCCTGTTTCGGTTAAGCGTTTGATTTTTTGGCTTTTGTTAAAATCTATTCAAATATTAACAATGTGTGTGTGTGTGTGTGAAACGGTGTTGGTATGCGTGTGTGTGTGTGTGTGTGTGGTGAAGCTCTTCATGTATTGATATTTAGTACAGTAATTAGGGCAAGCGGCATTTTGTGAACTAGTTCACGCTGCATTGTGTTCTAAGTCCTTGTGATTTGTACGCGTTATAAGATTTCAATTTTTTGGAGTTGGAACTAGTTCCGCTTTTCATAAAGAACTAGTTCATAAAACTTATAAATTTCCTTTGCACTTTTACATGCGTATTTAGATGTGTGTATTTTTGGTACTAGCTATGAACTTAAGATATGTGAACTAGTTCATTTTATGTGATTCATTCTTTATGGTTATTTGAACCACTTCTGTTCAAGTAAATATATGTGTGTTTGTTTTCACTAATTTCGATTCAAGTGAAACGGTATATCTCGAACTAGTTCCAAAATTGCATATATAATTTATTTCAAATATACTAAATAAATAAATTAATAAAAATTAAAATGATAAATCTTGAACTAGTTACAGTTGAACACATTCTCAAGTTTTCAATAATTTATTAATAAATTAAGAGATCTAAACTTGTTTTGAACTAGTTCCGACAGAGAACTAGATTTGTGTTTCTGGTACCTTTGACTTCACTTGTTTTGCCTAGCAGAATTGAACTAATTGGCATTGACTAGTTCCGTCTGCAGCTGGAATTGGTTGCAGAACCCATAACTAAATTTTCGATTGGACACACTTCAGGGGCACAGAGGAGAGAGATCAGCTAAGACTAATCCTAAACGCCTTGCAGACACGCCTCATCTGCCGCGCAGACTCCGCCACGGGAAACGCTCCGCTCAGGACGTGCTTTACTCACCTGGCAAATGCTGTGTGGCTTGCGGCACGCTCGCCTGCCGCTGGAGCCGTTGCAACTGCTGTTGCTGGAACGCATTGACCGCTGCACTGTTACCGTAGGGCGATTGCGGGCCGCCGCCAAAGTTTAGACCCACGCCCGGTCCGCTGCTGCCGTCGGGTGTGCTTCCGCCGCCGCCAGCCTGAGCCTGAAAGGAGTTCTGCCGCTGCAATGCCGCCGCCGCCGCCACTGCAGCAGCATTGCTGCCAACGGGTCCGACGGCGCCGGGCGAGTTGAGGCCGCGTCGTTGCTGGTTCTGCTGCTGCTGCTGTTGCTGCTGCTGCTGATACTGACGCGCAGGATAGTTGCTCTGGATATCACGAAACGACATTAGTGGCGCTTCATTGGGCATTGCGAATTCTTTGCTACTCACCTGCAGCTGCGCAATGAGCAAGGGATTATTGTGCTGCTGCAGTGAGCGTCCAGCATTGCCGGCTGGCAGCGGCCCGCCCGGTCCGCCAACAGCACCACCGCCAGCACCGCCCGGCCCCGAATTGCCGCCGGCCGAGGGCCACTGCTGCGGGCTGTTCTGCATGCCAGGCGACTGCAGGCCGGAGCCGCTGCCAAACGGCGTATTAGAACGTCCACCATCACCAGCCTGCTGCTGCTGTTGCAGGTAGGCCAACTGTTGTTGCTGCTGCGTCGTCTGCTGCTGCTGTGGCGACAATCGCTGCGCATTTTGAGCAAACTGCGCCACATAGACTGCAAAAGCAAAGAATTACGTTATTCAGCATTGATCTCAATATATGCTCGCTCGTCTCGATCCTTCAAACCTTGATTTGGCTGCGGACTGTAGGGCGCACTGCGTCCTGGGCTGAGCTGCTGCTGCATTAAAGTCTGTGCAAAGTTCGGACTCAGCTGTGCATCCGCTGGCAGATTGGTCCTCGAGAGCGACACATTCGGCGCCACAGTCGTGTTGAGCAATGAGCCAATGTTGTTAATGCCCGCATTGATGCCAGCTGCAAAGGAAAGAAAATATATTTAATATTGTGATTTATATAGTTGATCAATATAGTTGATCAATATATTGGATTTGTATTTTATATTTTATATTTTTTGTTATTATACTATTGAAATAAATAAATATCGTAATCGATGTATATAAGATTATAATATTAAGTATACTTAAACTTCCATTTCTTGTACCCAATTAAATTATTCATGCATCCCTTATTATGAAATGTTTCTAGTTTAATATAATTGTACCATGCCAAATACAGTCGACTCTTGTTTTTTCAAAGGTGAATTTCGAAATAACGAGAGTCGACTGTATTTTTGTAAATGTACTCTCTAATATTATACAACTCACCGTACATTTGAGATTTTCAAACGTACATTGGATAAAAATGTACCAATAAGTACAAGTTTGGACGAATTTGTACCATATTTGAGCATTCGAGATTCACATTTGGTACTTTTGTAGCCGATACAGCAACCTCATCTCAACAGCTGTTTAGTTTAAATAATCTCAGCCAACGGTCACACTCATGCGATATAAATGCCAAAAAATTATCGATTTTATTTCGTTGTGCGCCTTTTTGCACCAACATCCACGCGAATTTAATGCAAAAGTAAAATGCAGCGCGTAAGTACGATTTCTCTATTATTAATATT